TCTGTATATTCCCCAGATAGAGTAAAGGCCCACAGTGTAGTCCGGTATCATGGGCTCATCTGAGACCAGATTAATACTGTAATAGTGACTACTTTCCTGCTTACCAGCGGAGTACATGGAGACATAATTCTCTTACGTTGCTTGATACCCTTGATATGTATAGATGGGAGGGATGAATAACAAAGACAAATATGGGAAGCATAGGATAGGTTATAATAACTCATAGTAAGATTTAAGATTGAGATGGACAGTGATCCCTCCTGAGTCAGTACTAGAATAGTTGGTACCTAAATAGAGTGTCCTGGCCATGGATGCTCACTGGATCAAATATACGCGTGAACAGCCTTGTCCCGGGACTCACTGCCACTGATATGTTCAAGCAGTCTACTGAGCTCGATTCACAATGTACCTCCTCTTGGCCGAATCGGGGTAACGGGTGACATGATTTCACTGCCAGTCGCCTACTTCTTATGCAGTCGCTCTTCTTATACAACTGGGGTCGATCTGGCTGTCACAGGGAGTTCTGTACAATGGTCGGATTGAATTATAGCTGGATTCAATTAATACTTGGGGGTCTGTGAGTGTTAATGAAATCTAATCTCCCTGCTCGAGGAGCCAGACTCAGCTATCCTGCTCTGTCAGGATAAAGTGGTAGTAGCCTCCTAAATCAGCTATACCAAAAGCAACCATTACCGACAAGAGTAGAGGATGCCGTACATTCCGCCGTGACCCACACCCTTCAATCCATCTTGAAAATTATTACCCGTAAGTATCTAGTAAGGCACTCATCTCTACCACCTATTCCAGCACGAGCAGTACCACTTAGGCTTCTCTGAACAACAAGTTCCATCTACTCATCATCGTGGAGATCGACGACCGTCTTCTTCCATTTGCGAGCCGGGACACGACGCCGGAAAAGAATGTCGATCTCACGGAAGGACCTGTTCTTCATCTCTGGAACCCAGATCCAAGCCATGGTGGTGCAGATAAAGGCGGTGCCAGCCCAGACGTAGCCGCTCTTGCCACCCAGGTGCCACTTATCATCGTTGAGCATGTAGCTGGAAAGGAATATGCAAGGAATGTTGACCAAGTAGTAGGCACCTCGTCCAACACCCGTTGTCAGTGGCCTGAGACGAACGGAAGCTGTCTCACCGATGATGACCCATGAGGCAGGGGCGGGTCCCAAGCAGAACAGGACGGAGACGATCAAGCCAAGTGATGCTTGCGCATTGCTAGCCGCGGTACTACTGCCAACTGAAGCCGCAATACCGAGCGCGACCAAGAATGCACAGTTGATGAATTGACCATAGACATAGATGGTGCGTCGACCCAGGTAAGAGGTGAGGATCCAAGAGAGCATCACCATGATCATCTGGAGGGCAGAAGTGATGAGACCAAGTGCAAAGGCGGTGTTGTCTGCCATGCCGGCCTCTGAGCTGGTGTTAGTCTGCTATGGCTTTAGACGATATGGCTGGACTCACGTTTGAAAAAGTACACCGCTTGGTTTGCAATCAGATTGCCTGTCAGATTCTGAGATGCGTACACACCGCACACAATCAACGTGCGGTAGAGATCGGTACCCTTCCACAGTTCAATGAGACTGGGCTTCTTCTCGGTTGCCTCAAGTTCGATCGTGCGACGCATCATTGCGACTGCGGCAGCGGGATTATCAGTTGCACTCGCGCGTCCAAGTCGTTTGACAGCCTTCTCCGCCTCGGCCAGGCGGCCTTTTCGGACGAGCCACCAAGGCGATTCAGGCGCAATGAAGAGTAAGATAGCGAGGGGGGTAGGGAACATCCACTGGAGTGCAATGGGAACCCTAGGATGACGGTTAGTACAGCGCTCCTCGATGGCATCTATGCGAGCGGACGAACCTGTATGCTGACGAGTCAGACTTGGACTGGTAGTGGTATGTGATCCCTCCGACTATGATCGACCCAATTGCCCAGAACATCTGCAACATCTGCGTCGCCGGAGCTCTCAATCTCATGGGCACGATTTCGGCACAGTAAGCGGGTGCATTGGCGATAAAAATGCCCCACGGGATGCCTTCCATGATCTGGGACGCGAAAAACATCCCCTGGCTGTTGCCGAAATAGAAGATGAGGATGAAGGCGTTCAAGGCCATGAGACCGCCAATGGTTGCCCATCGATATCCAATCCAACTGGTAATGGGACCTGCGATGAATACACCGATGATGCAACCGATTGGCCCGCTACACTGGAATGCTGACTGCCATGAAGCTTCGATAATCCATGTATTTGTTTTTTCGCTGTATACACCAAAGTCCTCGGCGAATTTCTTTGTGGCTATGAACTGACCCATCAGGAAAACACAGTATGACTCCAGGATCTATCGCACACGTTAGGGAAATGATCTGCCTATCGTTGGGCAAGAGCTTACAATAGTACATGACATCACGAAGGCCCACCAGCTGGCAGCGGGATAAGCCATGACAGCCTGGGGCACAGTCATATTATGTTCGACCTGTTCGGCCTCCAGAGCGCCCGCTCTGTCGTAGTCGACCTTCTCGTTGACATCGTAAACAGGTTCGGGGTTGGAGGTGGGCTGCGCCTCAACCTCCGACGCTGCGGTCTGCTTCTCTGTGTCACTATTCATGTCGACGACTTCTGGGAGAAACAGGTGGCATGAAAGAGCGGCAGGCACGACTGGGAGTTTTAAATCTTTATACCTGCGACAATAGCCTCGTGATGGTGATCCCGATCTTAGCTCAATTGAGTGAAGCTTGCTCCGGACCTTTACCTCCTCAAACCAAAATCTCCAATCATGAGAGTCATTTTTCCTGGCACTACGGTAGCCGCGTCGCTTGATTATGGTTGGGCCCCTAAGTATTAGCCGGGAGAAAAGTACTGGTTCCTTTGCGGGGTCCGCTGAACTTAAGCAAATTGGTGGCGTTCTATTCGCCGGAGAATTCCTGCTTTGGGTCGTAGGGGGGAGAGTCCGCAATCCTCCCTTCAGTTAGTGCGAGTCATCCGACCCTCCTGATTCCCTATCAAGGGGGTTCAATTCTGCCTGAGCCTATCATCATGAGCGACTAAATTCAACCAAGGAGCTGGGAGAGGATAAGCGCTAATTCTTAGTGCTTGACTCCGGGTATCGAGGACCGAGGGCAAGTGTTCAGTAGACGTGACCCATTCAGAATGTCGTCGAATACTGGCCTCCGAACATGAAGTCGGATGCTCATGATACTTGATCTCTCTATCTCTGTAGAATACCATGCCCCCACTAGGGGCCAATTGGACGTGCAGGATTCAAGATAAATATCATCGATCTTGACAGTCGGACACGGCTCGGGGTCATCTCATTCGCGGGCTAGGGCTCGGTCAGCTTTACCCCGGACGGACACTACCCCGCGCCACGACCCCGGAAGGATCCTAAATATCCTCCAATAGAGAAAAGGAGAAAAACTTAAAATTGGATAAAAATATGAAATTGCCTGAGGCGGAGCAATACAATATGGATCCATGGATATGCAGCCTACCACAACTATATATCAATGTACCTACACGTGTCGTATACCACGTCTTGAACGAACTTTGAGCCTGGCTGGGGCCTGCCGTGCCTTATACCTGTTATTTTTGGGCTGCTGCCCTCATGGCTCGCCACTTTGGAACCGTTATGATGCTTCCGCAAAGTCACTCCACTGTCTTGGCTCGTGGAGCAGTATCGTGTATGCCCCTCTCTCTTTCTCCATGTCCTTCTAGTAGGGTTGACAAACTGTTGAATGCGCTTCCAACCTTCTCTCGGAATTATTATACAAACTGCGCTGCCGTGGGGGTTAGTGTTCGTGGCTGCCCGTAGGATGGTATGGATGATCTGTTGTCCAGACTTGTTTCCCGAGTTCTGGATTGCTTGTAGGGCTGACACCACTATCGTCGGGGATAGTGGCGGATTTGACCGGGTTCCCATTGATTTCCGGCGTTGCAGGGCCAGTTGTCAGCCACCCACCTGGCCAATATATATATGCTGTCCTCAGGTGACGGCAAGATTGAATATGTGCCTGAAGAGCGCTGGGACGAAAGTAATGTCAATACGGCTGTGGACATGTATGGTCAAGATGTCAATTTCCGTGCTGACGCTTTGAAGAGAGGATCTCGATCAAGAGCCATATCGCGTAGAATTCACTTTTGGAGGGCTACGATTAGTTCATAGGTTTGAGATACTACGTAGCGCTCACAATATAGTTAATGTTGTAGAAAACCAGCTATTGATCGATCTTGAGGATATCGTGAACTAAGGTAACCCCTGAGCGGGAGTTGTGCTTTTCACACATCCCGAATGCCAGCATACTGTATAAGGCTAGTGGGCATCAGGGAGGGCAACCTATTATCTATTAAAGCCCCAGCGTTATTGAAGATTGCTGTAACCTCAACATATTAAAACTCAATATGTGTTAAAACTAAAGGAGTGATACCTAAGTGGTATATTAAACTGGAGAGAAGAGGTACAGTTAGACTTTGTATATCCTCTCCGCAAGCTCTAGACCTAGTATGTAACGCACAAGACCACAAGTACTCGCGGCAGGAGTCACTCTAGTTGTTTACCCACTGGTTGACTCTATCTTGGTGTTCCTGTATATATCTATCAGATCTATTTCTATTCTGTAAATATTTAATAAAAATATATAGTTTTTTATTCTCTATGTATTAAATTTACTATTAAATTTTATCATCTTCCTTGTTTCTGCGATCATATATTAAATAACGAGTTTTTGATCTTAGCTACGAATAATCGGTACCTAGAGATACTGTACTGTCAGATGGATCACCCGAATATCAAATGAAGTGAGAACAGATTAATACACAATGTAATAATAAAGGAGTAAAAGGAGCGTAGGAATCAGCAACAGATATGAATTGGTTAACTTTCAATGAGTGTACATCTATTATCCACATACTTCGACAATCCAGCGCTTAATTGGCACTGATCAGCTCTTCCTCTAATTGACCGAGCCTTTCTCCCATGGATTTGACGATCGCTAAAGGGGGGAGGTATCTATGAAAGGAATGTACTGTCGGGGGCATGTACTATTGGATGATGGAACTGCGCCTTGGAGGTACGACTGAATATGTCCAAAGTAACAATTTGACCCCCCCTGGTTGATGACCGTATGCTGAAGTCAAAGGAAACATCCCGTCAGTAAGCGTAGACTCTCGGCTGAGATGGGTGTACGGCTGAGAATTGATAACAACTTACACCAACGCCTTCTTGCATTAAAACTACCGATCCAGCAAACCGAGAAGACATCTTGCGCGCTCTATGACGACATAATGTTAGCGACTAACACGTCTAAAGTCCTCGTGATTTGGCCGAAACGTACGATTCCAACGGCGTCATAGGGTCAATGGTATTACTCGCAAAGAGGATCGGGAAGGACGTAGGCATGCTTAGTGCACTTATTTCATCTGCATCAAACCTGGTTAGACTTTGTCTTCCAATACAGATGCTCACCTATTTTGCCGAAGACGATGTTCATGGAATGTCGAAAAGGAGAGAGACAAATAGAGTGTTATCTACCTTGAACTACCATGCTATCTGGTAACTGCGGTCGGAATGATCGGCATAGGATACTTTCCAGGAAGGTAGGGTAGATATCACCGATGTACTTGCTCTTGGAAATCGTGTACTCCGCCCAAATCTTGAACCCTTCCATGGTAGTAAGTCTGTTCCTGCGATACGAATCGGTGCATGTAATGGCGAGACGGGCATCAGTTATAGAATTCGACTTATCATACATGCCCGCAAGAGCAGATACGTTCCCACGCTCAGCCTGGTGTAGGATGTTGGCCATGGTTGGAAACCTTGCCAGTGGCGTGTAGATTGTGTTGAGAAAAAGAGTCTTCAGGTCTGAATAGGTGACCATTGTCGGAAGGTCTTGATCTCCGACGCCGCTTAGCGGGACTGGATGGTTCAGAAGCTGACGGACGATGCCATCCATTCTTGCTGTAATGTTAGCCGGGGTGGGTCCCCAAAATGAGCACTTTTCAGGCCCTGCGGAATGGCAGAAGGTCGAGAATGCTTCTATAGCCTCGTCCATTTGTTCCACATTATCCGTCCAATAGTTGTTATAATATTGCTCTGCGTTGAGAACACCATCTAGGATCATTCTCCCAACGCGGTCAGGAAACAGGGAAGCAAAAGTGCTGCCGATAACAGTGCCGTAACTGATGCTATAGCACCACAATTTGGCGCTTGATGGTGATTGACCAGCCAATAGAGCCTCGGCTTCGATAAATGTGAGCAAATCATGGGCAACTGCTGGCGTAGTCACATAATATGAGTAGGGTGACTTGCGCTCGACAGCATTGTTGCACCACTCGCCGTAGAGAGAGCTTGAATAGTACTGTTCCTCGAGCGATGTTGATGAGATATTGCTGGCGCCTGTTCTGTGCAGTCGATAGAAAGCCGTCCTTGCTTTTGCATCCCCCGAGAAGCAGTCCAAATACAAGCCACTGTTGTTCACACCGCGAGGGTCAAATGAGACGAAGTTGTACTGCTCTCCAAACATCTGGCCGAGGAGATTCTGGTATGTGAGGAGTAGGTCGACACCAGAACCACCTGGACCACCTAATGAAGTGTCAGTCCAGTCAAATGAAGCTCGCCCAACGTTGCATGATTGATAGAAATGAGGCCTTACCGGGGTTGAGTACAATGCTGGGGGACTCAACGGTGGCATTTTTGCCAGCCAGCTTGATGAACGCAATCGACGTCGTGCCAAGGCTTCTGTTTGAATAATCCAAAGGAACTTCCAGTCTAGAGCAATGCAAGGCATCGAAACATGGTGTCCATGTGAGGTTGGCGGATGGTTCAATCTAGATGACTCGTCAGAAACTTTGAAACCCTTCGGCAATGTGGCACTGTCAAGTCCCGGGCTCACATTGTCAAATCCATAGACCATGCCCCGATCATGTAAACTGTGGGCTTTCAATCCCAAGCTCATGAAAAACATGAGCGTATTCACAAGTCGGTTCATTGTAATCCCTGGGGCCTTCTCCTTGATCTTTCGGTTCGGTTGCTTGCAAGAATCGACACAATTGCGCTATCTGGGAACTATTTATACCAGTTGAATTTCCTTGGATAGTAGTATCAAGTCTGACGGTTTCAATAGGCAGTTACATTCTTCCCATCAACCCAAAATACCTCTTCTTGCGTACAACCGTTTTCCGTTCTGCTTGTACGAACCAACCAATCAAGGCTTTTTTTTTTTTTTTTTTTTGATCAAGAGGACAACCAAATACGGTGGGTGCGGGAAGCAGGGCTGCAGGATCTTACCCCTATAAGTGTAGTGTTGAGTCTAAGGCTTTACTCTACGTTTCAATTGAGATTTATGCTTTTGTCTGTAAGGGTACTTGCATCTTTAGTCCACCGACCCACAGAGATGATTGCTTATATAGCCCCCTCCTTCAAGTTGTCCTGAATAGTTGAAGGAAGAGAATCGCCTTCCTTGGCGCCCCAGTTGTACGAGCTAACCAATCAGTACTTATTACGGTATGCACTAGTAGTCTGCCGCAAGCAAGATATATGCCAATCAGATTTCTTTCTAGGTGTCTCAGCCTCAAAACAGAAGAAGAAAGTAATACAGAGTTGCATTCATCGCTATGTAGACCAAGGGTCCCGCATGTACGAACTAGCCAATCAACACCTATCGCTAAACCCACCCATTAGGCTCCATTTAATAGGATTACTTAGGTGCCGAGGGGGTCAGTTTAGCCTGGTTCCACGAAAAGGCTTTTCCAGGTGATGTATGGTTTCTTATGGTAAACAGGGTTCGGAATTA